CGCCGCGTGGGGCAGAGAGGAGCGAGTATGAGAAGCATTCACAGACACAGGCTGTGTGTGCGCTCTTCTGAATTGGGAATAGCGAACATGCATCATAAACTTATTTCAAATTAATCTGTTGGGGAGATAAAATGTGTAAGATAACGTTCACGTACTAACAAAAACATCTAAGAATGTATCTTTTATTCTCCAGTACTGAAAACAGAACCGATACGGGAGCTTTTGATATGCGCTGTGATGCAGCTCTTGGAAATTACCTTTTTTGTTCGTTGTCAGTCATTTCGAAGCTTAAGTTGCATACGTTTTTCTTTAGATTTAATTTGCCCAACTATCGATCTGACCCAGTAGACGCCATAATCCCGCTCTGTCTCTCTCCCGCTTTCTGTTTTTTTTTAATGGTGGGTGTTTACGCAGTTGGCTAGAGCGGTGCTGATTGGGGAGAACGGCGGTGCGTTCACTCTTGCCCAGGGCAAGTAAGATTGCAACTCAAGGCTGGCAGTCATGCATATGCTCTGGAACAGAGTAATATCGCGTCCATATCGCAGGCTTTGCGATTAGCAAATCGCAACGTCTCAAATCGCGATTTCGATTCGATTTCGATTAATCGCACAGCCCTAGAGACTATACAGTGTATATGAGGTTGTCTGGCCTAGTATGGATAGAGTAGGGCCTTAGGGCAGTGAGTGCGCTAATTGGATTAGGAAGTATGATGTGATATTTTAAACCCAGAGCAGGAAATCGATAGGAAATCAACTTGACCGGCCACTTTACAACATTTTATCTAATTTTATTATATTTCCATTTTAATTTGCTAGCAGAGTTCACTAGAGATGAATCATGCTTATTCAGCATTGTCCATTGACTTACATGGGCGAACAGAAATGGAGGATGGTTGAACATGCTTGAGCTATCGGTGTCATTTTTAATTGCACACTGATATGTTAGGCTGCAATGAAGACAGTACAGTACAATGACACAGAACAAATGCATTACACATCCAGATTCTCACAGAGTCTCATATGTGTGGATGTGGCAGCCTCCTAGCTGAATGACAGAAAAGCTTGTTCTGTCCTGAATGAATTTCAAGAGAATGATGTAATGATCAAGAGGTGTTTAATCACTGAATAATTCACATGATTGTCAGTCATTTTTAGCATTTATATCATTCTGTGCACAGACCACACCTCTCCGTTATGTCAAGAATTTTGTGATCTCACTCAGGGGTTATGTTAGGTGTAGGATCAGGTATTTATTGTTGACTTTCATGATTAGGCTTTGCTATTAATTCTTAAAATCAAACCAATATTTCTAAGAGAGTATACATGCATTTCACCTGCATTCACTTTTGAAGAGTGCC